GGTTATTCATTATGGATTACATGCCCGCTATCGGTGACATTGATGCAATGATTAAAATCCCGCGTCCAGATGAGGTTTGTTTAGAATCTTGAAGATGTCCCCCAGTTACGTTGCAAATTTCAGGTTGAAGACAACATTGGCATCACCCAACTTGACGAGCCTGCAATTCAGCAAACTGATCCAACAATTCTGGCTATGCAGTTACGACGAACAAATAGGGATGTGAGGAAAGATAAGCACTGCTGTTGGAACTTTGGCAAGTTGCATTGTTCAGATTACAACTCAAGGTGATACTCCCGTGAGACGTCTGGAACGAGCTGACAAGTCCACTCATGAGATCGACAAATGGATTAGCAACATCAAGGTTCATATCTTACAGAGAGTCCCTTCCACCGAGCCCGACTCGGAAACGCTGTTTAATAGCAACTCAAAAACTCGTCGCCTACAGCGGCTGCATCTGTCGCCAAGCTATTAGTATTATATTCTTAGTATGGTACTAGTTTAATTTCTTATATTTTCTCTGCGCTGTCAATGTACTTTTTTCGATGAAAATGACAAAAAGAGAAGTCGCTTTGTAGATTAACGTTATCAATTTGGTCAAACTGGAGAAGTCACTTCCAAGTAAACATTGTACATTAGCAGTTTCGGTAAAATCGGAAATACGAATAGCGGAATAGAAAATTGAGATTTTGGAATATTCGTATCTTTGAATAATTCAAATTCTCAGACACTCGATTAGAATGATGCAAGCAAAAAAAGAACATTTCAATTCCGATTTTCAGATTACTCGGAATAGTAATGGATATTTGAAATTCGAACTATTGAGAATCAGAATTTCGTACAATCAGGTTTTTGAATAACTCACACTCGAGAGTTTTACTTGAATGGTGCAATAATTAATCGATTCGCTTCAATGTATAATAGACATCCCAATAAGATCAATTACTCCATTGCCGCAGCCGCACGCGAATGAGAGCCGCCCGAACGTTCTTGTGAGTATCTCCACTTTATAAAAGTCGGCCTATCCTCATAATCGCAATAAGGACCGATCGTTCGGTAGCAAAAAGTAACACCGCCGTGCGGCGTTGGTACACATCTATCCGGCGCACTCACTGTCGTTTTTGAAACTTTAACACAATCCAAGGAAGAAACCAAGCCAAAGTCTGAAGGAAAATGCGGCAAAGCAAGGAGAGAGAAAACTTAGCCAGTATTAAACTGTAGCACCGCAACGTAACCACTACGCATTCCCGGTCGGTCTATCCTTACTGCGAAACGTCATAAGGGTCGGCCGAACCTTATGAAATTTGGAGATACCCTCCGACACAGACCATACAGAATTGCAAATAATCTCTATACTTTACAGGAGCTCCACCGATCGAGACCTCCTCAATCGACGCTACAACTTGGCTATCACATGCCAGACGTAGAAAGTCTCATGCAAGAGTTTCACCCACTCTTCGAACAGTCGCTTGAAGGTGTAAAGGTTCCTTTTTTGTTCGCTCACTCCAAATTCAACTTGTATGAGACTTTGCCGTTAATGACGTTACTTTACTAATCTCCTAATGAACTTTATATGTTGCAGCTGAACAACTCATTTGAGTTCTATGCACAATTACAGTGTAAGTATCTCAAAGTGTAGTTTGAAAATATGAATACCAAAAAGAATAAACTGAGTTGCTATGAGAGCCTTTTCAAGTACAGGTTCGCGTATTCAAGATTTCTTGAGCGTTTATGTATGCAGATATGTTTAACTTCTCCCTATCACGAAAACAGATGACAATATTGTGAAACAAGCGACTTCATTTCAAAACTTGATGATAAGTACATCTCCAATTGAGCCAATAAAATTATCAAATGTATGATGACTTTTTGAACATACCTCATTATTTAGCTGCCTACTGCTGAACTGGACGTCGATCTTGAAGAATACGCTGATATATGCCTTGGACTCCTCGACATACCTATAAGTGGAGGACGGATTCAATCTCTTCACTGCTTGTTCTCACTGTACAGAGAGTTCAAAAATTCGCAACACTTCAAAAATCTTGCTCAGAATGCGAACAAAAAGCGGGAGAATATTGATCGAATGGAGTTATAACCATTCTATTAGATTCAAAAAGACTTCATTGGCAGTCAAATACCAATTTTATCAATGTTAGTTATTTAGATTAGCGGTAAGCAAGGTGACATCACGATGGAGTAGGCAATTTGTTGTCAGTCTGCTGCATTCAAGAATAAGATTGTTAAGGTCAGAAATTGATTTACAGTGGGTAGCGGACCTCGGAGCAAGGAATATGTTTCTCCGATTTTACATGTCATTTGTTGCGCAAGATTCCAATAAAAGTTGAAAGTAGTGAAATCCTTGTCTTACAAAAAACAGAGCTTTACTAACGAAAATCCTTCGCCAACATGGAACCAATCCACACGTCTAATAAGGAATATACGAAGATGCCTGAGAAGCATAACTGTTTTCAAGGTTGTGCACCTAACTACGATCTATAAAGAAAATGTCCAAGTGTGCCCTCAGCATAACTATCGTCGATTTCTTAGATAGAGATTCAGATGGGCACTGCTGCGGCGCGGCTGCGTACGCCCATAAGGGTACCTCCATGCTTCATAAGGATCGGCCGATTCAGATCGGCCGATCGAAGGTGCGCGGCGGTTGCGTTGCTGTTCCGCAGCCAAATACCATTTTCCCTGGGGTTCCGTCCTCATCTC